CGAGGAGTAGAGTTTTTAAACCTACTTGCAACATGTTTGTAACTAGTATCTGACTTCCTTCTGGAAGTGGTCCAGTTTTCTAGGAAGTGTAGAAATGGCCATATGTAATAACCAAGACCGACTTACATTTTAGCTCACAACATGAATACATAATTTACATAGGTGAATTACCTTTCCTGTTAACTGGTTTTCGGTTTAATCTCAGGAACAGTATACTACATAAATGGCCAAAATTCTGAAATATGCTAACCTAGTTAACCTGGGAGAGCAATCAAAGGCAAATTTGCTCCTCAAATTTAGTCAACTCAAGAAAATCCAAATTACATAACTGTAAATACCTTCTAACACTAGTAAATAAGTTATAATAAATTCATTGGGCTATGTAATTCTGTTGCTGTGAATCACTTTTATTAAAAATTAACATTCTTCTAGAAATCATATTCCCATTTTGTAGATCCTGTAACTAGTAGAGAAGGGATATGTCTTTTTCAACTCAATATCCTACACACCGCCTAGTCTAGGATCTTGTGTTTCCCTAACTGAAGTGACAGCACACAATGCTAAATTCTCTAAAAGCACAGTGGCAAGGAGAAAAGAAATTAGACTCCAGTAGGAAAGAAGAGAGGCATCTTGTGCCTGGAAGGAATGAGATATGATGATAAGCAAATTGTCTAGCACTATTCCTATCACATAGTAAGAACTCAAAAATGATAACTTACATTCCCTTCAACTCAATTTTTGTACAGTTTTGTTATGTTAAAATCCCTATGATTTTAATTTAGGTCTTAATGATGTCTGAAATGAATTAAAGCATAGCTGTTCTTTGGTTATAGGACATTAATTTAGTTCTCTAGTTTCCTCTCCTATAGTGTAAATGGCACTCAATTAAGTTCTTTCAGTATAGAAAATACCTGTTAGGTACCTGAGATTTATTAATTGCTGTGGCATAGAATTCAAAGCACTATTTAATAAGTCTCTTCCAACAGAAAAGTTTATTGTATGGATCACTTGATGTAAAGTTATTAACTTAAATTACAGCCTTAAAAACCTCCAGTGATCCAACTAGTGGAGATATTCAACAGAGATTTCTATTGTACATGCTTTATTAGTATATATACTTACACATATTAAAAACTGCTATAAAGTATTAGAGTACTGAGACTATGTGATACTTCTAAAAAAGAGTACTAATATATAATTACTGAAAGTAAAATAATTTTATGAAAACAAACAAAAGAATTACTGACTAGTTTTTCTTAAGATTCTCTGGCTGAATTATCAAACCTATGGTTTGATTAATTCATTGTTTATCTTTAGAACAAAAAATTTTAAAGAAACTTAAAATGGTCACCTTAGCAAAATCATATTTTGATATAAACTAATAAACATAATATCATACCCAAAATGAAGACAGAGTCTAGGATACAACAAGAAAATAATATGATTTCTTAAAACGAAGATTAAAGTTTATTGTTCACTTCTGTGAAAGACTTCTTATTTTAAGTAAATTAAGTAAATCTAAGGATTTACTAATAAAACTATAAATGTATAAGTAGATTTAAAAAAATACTTGACTACTATGTGAATTATATCTCAATAAAGCTGTTATTTAAGAAAAATACCTGCCATATATCTTTTCAAAAACCCCAAATTCTGGTATAACTGGTTGTTTTAGTTCTCCTAAATAATACTTACATTTTAGTTCTTTATAACCTATACTATAGGATTCACAAAAAACCAAAAAGAATCCTTTCATGATTCTCATTTCTTCTTGATCAACTCCTTATTTTGCCAAAAAATACCATCAATTCATTTGGACAACTTTTTTGTGTTAGGAAAATGACCTCTGTCTTAACTTTTGAGAACCTACACAATACTGTTCAGAAAGTCCATATTTCTAAAACTTTTATTCATTCATATATTGAACCTCAAACTCTTAACTACCTTTCCAGGGGGACAAAAACAGAGGTCTTTAAAAAATGGGGAGGAATACATATTTCAGACCGGTGATTCTCAACTACACCACCCAGATTTTGACATTTGGCCTCATGGAGAGGGGAGGAGTTGTGTAGAAGTAAGCCCTCTTTCCCCATTTGCAACCCTGGGACTTACCGAATAAAAAGATGTTACTGATGGGAGTATGTAAAAGTGTGAACAGTGCAGAGGCAGAAAAAGGTTTGAAAGACACTCTTTTACCCAACATTCTGGATTGTGGATTAGCAGCATCATGTTTACTCATTCCCTCAGTAATATGTAAAGGGAAAAAATCTAGATTGGCGAATCTGAGAAACACACTTTAAATAATTAAATAATAAAGAATGTACATAAACACCTGTATGCCCAGCCTCTCAATTTTAAAATTTAAATTGATTTAGAACTTGTGAAACACAAACCTTTACGGCAGAACTAGAAGTCTGTTCCCACCAGGCCCTCATATCTGAGAGCAGCCAATCCGGCTCCTTCAAAACTCTGAAGAATTAACTACATCATGAGTTATCATTTTTATGCATTTCATATTTAAACAGCAAATGCTATAGATTTAAAAAAAAATCTCTCAGAAGTCTAAATTAATGTGCCTTTCCCTGGACATCTAGTCTTTTGGCCAGGAAACATTAAGTAACTGGTAATTTACCTCAAATCTCTCTTTGACAGTTATGTCACTAAGGATATTAATATGTCAAACAAAAAAGCAATTCCAATGATATATACTAACTGATCTCCTTACAATAATTATTTTGTAATTTAAACTCTCTTATCTATAATGTTATACGACAAAGACTCTATTCTACCAATAAGATATTAGAATCCTAGAATAAGACTATGTCAGTTATTAAATTTATGTAAAAACAGTTACAGGGGCTGGCCCAGTGGCATAGTGGTTAAGTGTGCGTGCTCCACTTCGGCGGCCCGGAGTTTGCAGGTTTGGATCCCAGGCGCAGACCTAAGCACTGCTTATTAAGCCATGCTGTGGCAGGTGTCCCACATATAAAGTAGAGGAAGATGGGCATGGAAGTTAGCCCAGGCCTGGTCTTCCTCAGCAAAAAAAGGAGGATTGGCGACAGATGTTAGCTCAAGGCTCATCTTCCCCACCAAAAAAAAAAAGTTACAAAAGACTTGGTTTTAGATCATAGAAACTTTCCGTGTGTGAATATAAGGAAATTGTCAAGGTTACCTCCTTATTGTCTTTACCATCTTTACAATGGCAATAACTTTTTAATCTAATAAGAATTTATTACTCTAGAGTACTTCCTTTGGTTAATTCTCTTATTTTCATGATTTTTCAACTCATAGCTTTCAATCTAATTTATCTGGAGAGGATTTTCTCAAATACATGGAGGGAGGGAGAGAGGATCAATGTTCCATTAGTGACCCAAATTCAAGAGTTTTCAGTACTTATATACAAAAATTTCTGAAATTGAGTCTGGTATTATTTAAAAGGAAGTGTTATTCTTCAAACCTAGCTAACATTTTTTCAGCTTTTAAAAGGAACGGGATCTACTGTCAACAGATGTAAAAAAGCACGGAAGAAACAGACTTTTAGTTCAATACAGATTCAACATCTTTAAAAAATAATCTCAAAGATACAAAAGAAATCAGTTAGTCAATTTCTACCTGTGGATTTAAAGTGAAATATTTCATTAAAAAAATCATTTTTCATGTTTTATTATCTGATACAATTTTTAAACAAGATTTAAAAGTTTAAATTCCAGAAAAAATATTCAGGGAGGGACATTTTAGAAGCCAGTGGATATAAAGTGAAACCAGGTCATCTTATCAATTTGATTACTGAAAAGTTCACAATTAAATCCACAGAATCTGTTAGAAAATGTCTGGCAATACATGAACAGTGAGCAGGGCTGATAAGTTTCTTTGCCATCTTTAAAGTTTTCCTGCCCTCAACCACAAAGGCTGCATACTGCACTATACAGCTCAGGGGAAAGATTGGTACACAAGGTTAATGGTACATAAGTTAACAAATACAAGAAAAATACCCAAAGTTCTACTATAGTACCAATATCCTTATTTAAATCACAACCTTCCTCTTCACTGTTCTTTTTGAAACGACAAGAATTTACTGAAAACAATGCTCTGATGGACTTTAACTACCATTTTAAAAGATGAGAGGGATCATATTAGACAAGAAACCTCTAACTAGTAGAAAAGATAAAACTTCAGAGCATATATATACTTTTTTCCTTTTTTTAAACCAAACACACTTAGCAGTCTATAAACCCAACTAAAAAACCAATTACAGTTGGGCAACCTAATATTATTGAAAGCATTCTTATTAATTTATCACTAATCAAGACTTTTTTCTATTAGCTTGTCTGTCAATATTTTATTCTAATTCAATCCAAATGTGACCCAATTTTAATTATAAACTGTATGATTTGAGAGCTGCATAAAAATAAACTTGATAAATTTTAAACATTACTTTCCATACTTTTTCCTTGATATAAGACAACGTCTTTATATAAATATTACACTCAAGTCTTCCATTACTTGCAACTGAATTTAAAATAAGTATAAAGTCACATATGTTTTTAAATGTAGGGAAAAAGTTATAGTAACATGCTACAAACAGAAAAGAGACTTAAGCGCTTGAGTCCTTCTTCAGATTATACAAAATATTTTTCCTTTGAACAAATTTTTTAAAATAATTATTAAATAGAGACTCAAATATAATTTTCTATCAATAGCTTGGTATTCAACTTTTTTATGTGCAGTCAACAAAAGAGCTTTAAACTCGTTCCCATAGTTCAAGACAAGGTTCATTCAAGGACATGGCACTAACAGATGTGCCAATATGAAATTTTAAGAAACAATAATTCTATCAAGAAAATTATACTGAAAAATTTTAATAGTAAAAGTATGTATTTTAAAACCTCCTAAAACAAACCCTCAAATCACACTCTTTTTGATATGAACTTTGCCAGCACTGTTCATGTTGGCCAGATAATACTCTAGTTTTCTTTAATAGAGTAAAATGAAATGCATACCAGCAGCAACTACAGCTGGAGGAGGCGAGCCTGCCTCACCACCGCTTGTCTGACTCATTGATGCTACAGATGTTTCTCTAGATGGAGGTAACTGTAACTCCTTTGGAAGAAGATCATAGACAGATTCTGTTGGGGAGAGAGGGAGAAAAAATTTTTGAAAGAGTGCAAGGCAATAACCTGATATATGAGCACGAAATTAATAAGTCTTTTCACTCACGAGGAGAACTATATTATTCACACACACACACAAAAACGCCATATAATTACTACTGTAAAGAATTCCTAGCAAATATTTTTTCTTGTATTATATAATTTTATTGAACTGAAGAATAAATTTTCCATTAGTTCTGCCCCATTTGCTTCTTGGCTTTATCCCTTATGTTTAAGATGGTCTCCAGAAAAAGTTATAAAATTTTAAAACTGAAGGAAAATAGACAGACTAGAAGAAATGTCAAATAACTCAAAATGTTCCAATATCCTCTGTAATAATAAGAGTGTAACTTATCATTCTTTACATATGAGTTAGCATATACTAGTGTCTATCAGCTTTAAATTGGCTTTTTCAATTAGACCATTAGTCTAGTCCTGCTCTTTTACCCAGCACCTTTTTAGCAAATATTTTAATTCAGTATTATTATGCGTTTTTCCCTCCTAAAAGAGCTAAAACAGAAATGTCATGGCTCGAGGAAATATTTCTTACTCTTAAGCATCTCCACTTCTACAAAGGCACAAATATAGGATACTCTTAAATTAGAGATCATAAATGCCCATATTAAATTATGATTACTTTTGTACCCCAGATTAAAGAATATTATCTTTTTAACGTATTTTATAATACTCTGTCCACAAAATTAAATTTATACCTACCATTCAAAAAATTCTTTTATAGTTATTACTGTATGGTTTTTGGACAGAAATAATTCTCAAAATATCCTCTAAAGGTAGTAGAATCAATGTTGGAAGGAACTTCAAAAGACCAATTAGAATCATAGGCCCATTTTCAAAAGAACCAAGGCACAGAGTTTAAGGGACTTGCCTAGTATTCCAAGAAACCCAACATTCCAACAATTAAACAAGATTATTAATTATTTGCACGAGTGATTCAAAAACAAAGGTAGCACTATAAAACATTATATCCTTGGTGACAAACAATATTTTTAGTTAACTGGTACTGGACTCATGAATACTTTGATCCTCCCAGTTAATCATTAAAGTATATATCCTTGCCCACATATAACTACAGAGCAAGACTGCACAGCTGTATTTGTGAGAGGAGTAGACTCGAACTCAAGCTTCCTGACTCCAGAGCATTCTCATTCTACCATGATGACCGCGGTGGTTTTTCCCATACAACTCATGAGCTGTGCAACCTTGGGAAAGTCACTTCTCAACTCTAGATCTCATTTTTCCTCCCCTGTGAAATATAGGGTTGGTAAATGGATAGATTCTCTGCCAGCCATGACATCCTGTAATTAAGGAAAGCATAAAGAGATAACCATCAATGTGATATTGCAAATTTTAAGGTCACTGTACTTCCCAGTTCACCTGGGATAGTCCTAGTTTATTCTCAAAGCATACTGGTTTGGAAGATGAGTTATATGGTCATCCTTTGCATATATGAAATGCTACATGAAAGAAACCATGCCAGTTGATACAAAAGCCAGTAAGTGGCTTCTTAATCATGCTTGGCACAGAAGAATTTTATTAGGTTTGATCTTGTATCAGTTATCTTTTGCTGTGTAATGCACCACCCCAAAACTTAGTGGCTTAAAACAACAGGCATTTTTTTAGCCTGTAATTTTGTGAATGGGCCATTTGGGCTGGGCTCAGCTGGACGGTTCTGCTGCTCACTTATGTGGCTGGGGGCTTGTTGGCATAAGAGTGTCTCAGCTGGAACAACTCATCTCTGCTCCACATGGTCTCTTCTCCTTCAGCAGGCTAGCCTGAGCTTATTCACATGATGGCCAAGTTCCAAGAGCAGCAAGAATGAAAACCGCAAAGCCCTCTTGAGATCTAGTTTGGAATCTGCACGCTATCACTTCCACCACATTCTGTTGGTCAAAGCAAGTCAGAAGGCCAGCCCAGATTCACAGGGTGGGGAAATAGACCTCACCTCGTCATGGGAGGAATTGCAAAGTGTTGTGGCCATTTTTGCAGTCTACCCAGTCCTCATGTACTGTCACAAGGGCCTCTTGAAAAAACATCCAGGGAGAGGAGAGAGGAGAAAATTATTAACTAATAGACATTTGTTACTCCTCAGGGCCTGGCAGCTCTGCCTCCTCACTAGTGTTTGAATTACCCATGGTGGTGAACGGCCCAAACCTCGACAGTAATTACAAGAAAAATATGATTTTTTTTAAATGTGTACATCTAGTTTCAGAGTAAATAGTACTCCCACTTGTTTTTATTTCCACTTCATTTATATGCAAATGATATAACAGTGTTTGTTTGATTATGCCTACTTACAGCTCAGATAATTAATGTGGGCTTCACTGTTACAGTTTTCTTAAATTAATGGCTTCTTTTTAAAATGTAAACCTTAATGAGGAACGTCTTGATGAAAATTGAAAATAATCAAGGAAATAAAGATCCAAAAAGTAAAAAAAATAAAGTATATATCCTAACTTTGATGCGGATAGGGATAAGGAAGAATGTCATGAAGGAAAGCTAAAATTAGAAGTTGTAGTATTAAATGATTTTCACTCACAGTAAAAAATCAACTTAAAAGTTTCTTATGAAAAACCCTATTACCTAACACTTGAAATTTTCATCTTCAAAGCATTTGGCAAATTTGACATCTGTCTAAATATAATATATTCTGACTGAAAATTTTCAGTTTGTTAGAATGTTGTTAAAAGCCTTAAGTAAATTATTTCCATCTTTCAACTAATATAGGGGGACAGTAGGGAGAACCTAATTAAAACAGAAATGCCATATCATCAAATATTGATTTTAATACAACTATTCTTCACAATCCATGTTGAAAACAAGAGTTCCTTATACATAAAAGAGAAATTCACTCAAGTCTTTTTTTTCCCCAAACAAAAAGGAAATTTGAAAATAAAAATTCACTTAGATGAAAACAAAAGATCTACCAAAATACATTTATGTGAAGGGAAAAAAACTTATCCTAGTAATAGCCCCATCACTAACAGTTCTTCACTGGTCAGGACTATTTCTCCACTTCTCTAATTATTAAAATAAATAAATCAAATCAAAACAAATGCTTGTGGACTGAAACACTCTACCTTTCCCACAAAAGGGTATAAAGTTGAGTCTACATTCGAGGTATAAAAGCAATGTTAATAAAAATATATTGGAAAGTAACTAAATGCAGAACTTATTATATCTCAGCCCTCCCCCTAGCCTACCCCTCAAAACAAAACAAATACCTTCCACTTCACCAAACACGCAAGGTCAAGTGGAAGGTGTAGGAAGCATGGATTCATTCCTTATCAAAGGTATTTTCTGATTAAGTGACTCAAGTGTTTAGAAATTAAAGAAGTCAGAAGTTTCACCACATCTGTCCAAGGGAAGCAGTAGTTAATACAGTCGTTACCAGCACAGGCTCTGATTTCAGACAGAATTGGGTTGGCTCTGCTACCTTAAACAACTTCTCTAAGACTTAATTCCTTATTTAAACTCTTCTTTTACCCCATTATCTCAAAGACTTTTCTTCCAAGCTATAACTGCTCAACCCAACCACATACACTGGTCTTTCTCTTAAATCTGTTTCCCATAAGACATAAAAAGATTAAAGGTATATAAATTATGCTGTTAATACTATTGTCATTTAGTCCTAAATTCAATCCAAATTAAACACTTGTACAGTCTCCACTAGCCAATGAAAACACTCCTGAAAAAGAGTATAGGTATTTTAAATTAATGAAAACGACAAACAGTTCTAAGCAAGTGCTAGCTACCTCATGTTAAGCCACCATATCTATTTTTCTGGTACCCTTTTTTTTTTTTTTTGGTGAGGAAGATCAGCCATGAACTAACATCCATGCTAATCCTCCTCTTTTTGCTGAGAAAGACTGGCCCTGGGCTAACATCTGTGCCCATCTTCCTCCACTTGATATGGGATGCCACAACAGCATGGCCTGACAAGCGGTGCGTTGGTGCACACCCAGGATCTGAACCCATGCCACCAGCAGCGGAGGGCGTGCACTTAACCGCTACGCCATGGGACCAGCCCCTTGTGTTATCTTTTAAATCAGTTAGATAGATAAGGAAGGAATGAAATTCTAGGTTTTTAAACATAGAATATGAAGAAAGAGAATGGGAAATCCATAATGGAAAGGCAGCTTCCTGAAGAAAGGCTTCCTTAAAAAACAAAAATAAAATCACTTCTAGATATTTTTTTAAAAGAGAGAGAATGGTTACAAGGTTTCTTCTTGGGGTGGTAAAAATGTTCTAAGTTTAGATTATGGTGATCGTTACACAACTCTGTAAATATAGTAACAATCACTGAATTTGTACACTTTAAATGGATGAATTTTATGATATGTGAATTATACATCGGTAAAGCTGTTTTTTAAAAGAAGAGAGAAAGAGAAATAGAACAAGTACAAGTGAGAATTGCACAACAATAAGTTAGGTCTCTCAATGTTCCTAATAAACTTCATGGACAAAAATATCTCTTCACATATCTTTTCTTTGTGAAAAACGAAATTATGAAGAAGGCCAAGCTGCAAACTAATCTAATTTGCTTTTTAAGGCTCTTCTATTGGAGGATCAGGAAAATGCTACAGGCATAGTTATCCTAAATTCAGTAAAATAGCTGATGAAAATCTTAAAAAGTTCTTATGAACAAGATGAAGAAATATAGACTTAACAAAATAAATGACTCTAAGAAACAGCACCAAAAATATATGGGTTCAACCTGGAGGGAGGTGGTTACTATATCAACTACTTGCATTAAGATATCGAATTTGTGAATGACACAGGCTTAAGAGGGATATATCGTACACTATAATTCATCACTGATCATGAAAGGCTGGAATATCTGCCCAAAGGAATGAGGTGAAATTTACGAAGGATTAATGTAACAGCTGGTAAAAATTGCTCTCGTGCAATGTACTAAAATGCACTCACTTTCTTCCTCTCTTTTTTTAAAATTTACA